ACGCGGCTTTGCTTTCTTCCACGCCGCCAACTTCATGGCGCGCACGAAGTTTCAACTCCCTCCCGAGCTCTGGTCGAATATATTTACAATTCTGTTAGACGAACAAGCTGAGGCGCAAGCCCAATCTTCCAGCAACATTCAACCGCTGGCGGACTGGACCCCATTACCCGACCATGCGACTTGCCCGCCGTGCATTCCCCACTGTAACGCCTATACCGATTGCGGCGCTCGAACCAAACAGACACAGATTTGTACAGCAAATCTGGCTCGCGAGCGGCGCGGTCTGCAAGCCCTTTTGCATGTCAACTCGGTGTTCCGCGCTCTCATCCGGGGCAAGCGATACTTCGCCCAAAATGCCTTCACCGACCTCGCATGCCGCCTGGAGGAATCGCACTATCCAGTGCAGTCTGGCGACATGCTGTACCCTTGCACGGGCCTCTGTCTGTGCCTGCTCCCGGAAATCCTGAGGCGTCTTCGTCTAGGCGCACAGGGGCTTCTCGGTTCGCAGCGAGTACACGTCATTCTACCGTCCCGCAACCAGCACGGTCCCCACTCGCCCGCGCAGTCCATCTCGCAGATTCTTCACCAGTATGGCGCAGACCACTTGGTGGAGGCGTCATTCTATTTCGATCCGTCTGATCAAACTTCCGACGAGGACGGGGATCAGAGCATCGAGGGGGAGCATATCATCGCATCCGAGTCGATCGAGCGTTTCGAGGGCCAGAATTGGGACAGGGTTATTGTCGGGAACTCCCTCACCTTCCTGAAGCTACGTGCAGAGGTCGAACGTCACACCTGGGATCGATCGGTCCTCTGCCGCATCTTGCGGTCTTGCCCCCTGCTCGAGAACGTACAGCTCTTGTCCGTCTTCGATCACAATCCACGGTATTGGTTCTATCCAGACGAATCGCCAATCATTCTTGAACACCTTTCGAGCTTGCACATCCAAGCCTCCGTGAACGTCTGGATAGGCCTTGCCCGTCTTCTTGTTACGCCTGTCTTGTACGACGCTCACATCGACGTCATCGTTTCTCCATTGCATCTTCAAGAGAACCAGCCGAGGTGGCCGGCCGATTTGGACTGCATACTATTCTCCCGCACCGACCTAGGGAAAAGGCTCGGCGAGATCGTCTCCGGGGATGATCTCAGCGCGGATCTGCACTACAAGTGTGATGTGGATGAAGGATCCCACGGAAGCCCCATGCCGCATAGCTTACCGGAATACATGTCGATCAGAGTGGCCGATCATGGCGGTCCTTACTCGCTATCGATCACGATACGCTCCGCAATGACGTGCCCTTTGGCGTACGCCCCCCCCGGCACTCGCGCCGGATGCGTCCCCTCGCGAACGCCGGCCGCTCTCCTCGAAGAGTTCCTGACGAACACTCTGCTCAGCATCAGTGGCATGCTTCCGAGCCCGTACTCGGTGAATAGGTCCATCCACGAGCTCGATGTCACAGGGTATGCTGAGTTGCTACGAGAACTACGATGGCCAGTGGTTTTGCGCGAGACGAATAGGCTCGAGTGCCTTCGTGTATACGGGATCAACAGCAAAGGGTCGGCCTTAGACCGGCTGCTTGAAGGATTATGTGCAGAGAACCTCGAGACGTACACACTCGACGGCCTCTTGCATCCGCCAGACCTGGCCTACGGGGATTGCGTGACCGAGGTGCATCTGCCAGACTGTCCATATATCCCGCTCGAGTTCCTTGAGGATGAGCTGTCCCTCCGGCGTCCCTCCTTTTGCAGTCCCATTACATGGTTTGGTGCGACGTGAATGTACCGGACGGCATACACCTATCTACCCTCATGATAATTTATGAAGACCTTTGGCTCGTGTCTACTTGTGTACCACGACACGCCCTTCTTCCTTTTGACATCATCTGCTCTTCCCAGCCCCGTCTCGGGCGCTCCTCCCATTCCTTCAGTTTACATGGAAATAATCGTAGCTCCCCAGTCCGTGGCAATGCAAATAATGACGCGCTTTGCAATTCAGCCCCTTAAGCTTTTATATAGACTACGAGTGCAAAGGCGCACTGCGCCGCTCGTAACCTGTCCGTCCTAACATCAGACACGATTACTAGACTCGGGCTACAAAGCAGACGGGCATATTTGTTAACGGCACCAGAAAATCGTGAGTCGGCGTTTATGAAGCGTGCGGGAGAACTGACTGGGATGTCAAGACCCGGGAAAAGAGTGTACAACGATTAAAGGTCCACAAACGACGAGGTATTGGTGCGACGTCATAAGCCTTAGGAAGAATGTCTCTCCGCACAAGCAATTGAGGTCTCAAAGCGGGAACAGCGGCTCCGACTGTGCGGTGTCAACCCGGATGCACGGCCGCGCCGTAACGCTCGATCCAGGACAGTCTTGCACACCGAGACTACGCCTTCTTGCAAGCTAAGTACTTAGCAGCCGTTGACTGCTCCCCGTTTCCCCACGCCGCCTCTTGTCCGGGCACGACATCAGGGCTCGTTCACTCAGTCGGGTACTCCCGGTTCCCCTAGATGCGTGGAAGTTACTCGGAGGACAGAGCTCTGTCAATATGATGACGGCGTCGGTGGTGTTGGTCAGAAAGCAAGGAGATTTATGATCGTGAGATTTCGAGAAAGGCACGTGCAGAGTGCGGACCGGCTTCGGGGAAACAACTTCCCGTTAACCATATCGTCCACCTCTCACCCTTCGTTGTGAGTCGCCCTCCTAGGCCGCATGAGACTCAGGCTGAGCACAATCTAGCTATAGCCGTGGTCATGACGAGCTTTCCTAATCTCCATGCAGACATAGTCTGTGCGGTCGCAAGACTACTGCAGGAAATGGACAACCAGGCTGCCTCGAACGGCGATATCTGCGACTTATCTTGGTTCCGGATGACTCACATATCCAAATATCCTCGAGGAGTACTACTGTCGTATCCTGGTCTCTGGGCGCGAGGAATCTGTCACGTCCTCTGCGTTGAGATGTTGGATGAATTCCTTGCTCGTACCCGGGGCGCACTTCTCCACGTCAACACGGAGCATCTGAACGGACACCCCAAGCTCAGGAAGCGCTCCAACGCGACGATCAAGTACGAGTTATTTGAGCGCCTCAGCTGTCCAGAAATTCTCCGCCGCTCGGATACTATATCCTACCCTTGGAGTCGAGTAGGGCCAGAGCATGGATTGGACGCCAACTACTGGTCTGTGCGGCTGTCACAGCAAGAGTTCCCACAACTCTCGTATCTTCAAATCCGCTTACCTCTCTACTCCCCACCTGTCGGCTTCTTTGCGGCCCATGGCCTCCAGACCTTGATCCTGCATGGTGACTCTAGCACAACTAAGGGCGTCATCGATGTCGACAACCTTCTGGATATTATGGCAGGTGCCCCTCGTCTCCTCATACTCGAGTTGAGACATGCTTTATCCGGCGACATCACACGCGGAGCGTCGAAAGGCCCGTCGGGCGTGCAGTGTCAATTGAGAGTTCTGCGTTTGTCCACTCGGGACGAGACGTGCCTGCTCGCACTTGCACGGCATATCAGTGTCCAGAAGGGAGGGGAGGTTCAAATCATCATTAACGACGTGCTTTCGATTGCCGACACCTTCGACGTATACACGACGCTGTCTCACATCGAGCGCCGCGAGCATAGCGAAGTCCGGATCAGTACGCGCGGCATCTCACTGGATCGGCAAGCTGACATTTACACTGTCTACATAAAATTCGAAGCCCACCCGCAGTCCTCACTCAATATCTCGAGGCCTCGCTCCTCTAGGTCTACGTGGACTTGGCAAGAGTGTGGCCGCCTCTTGTCCGATGCGACATGTTGCCTGACGCTGGGCGACTTTCCTTACGACCGCCCACTTTTCCACCGAACCAACCACGGTGAATCGCCCCTCTACGATCTCACAGAATTCTTGAGACAAATGTATCACCTACGCAGCTTGAGCGTATGCGCGAAGGACGTTATCGCCGGAGCGCTGGACCTGTTACCGGGCGAGACGCCGAAGAAGATCGTGGTTACGGCCGGACCATCCGGCGTCTGCTTTGAGAAGATGCGGACGTGGTTGAACCAGCAGCAGTCCGCGAGTGGGCCGGGTGCCGTTCGCCCCGTGGTGGTACTTTGCCACGCCGTTATCCAAAGGCGCGATCAGCGTGAACTCGGAGCGCTGACCCGCTACTGCTCCGAGATTCATGACCAAAGGGTTTTTCCAGTTGTGCATGTTATTCGCTAAGTCCAGCGGGGCATCGCCCGTGTGAATAGATTGTGGATGCTGTTCCTTGTCGCTGGTAGTAATATCCAGATCCCGGCGTACCAAGTCTACGACCAATTCAGGATTCATGATAGCTGTAAATATCGACCACTGCGTGTGTGCTCCCCATCCCGAATACGACGGTTTCCTACTGCAGCAGACGCCGATCTTAACCCGGGACATCGCTCGGAGATCAATCAACAAGGCGGCGCGTTGAATTTGTTAAAGTAGGTTTCGACAAACAAGTAGGCGGAAAGCGAGCGGCCTACGGCGTATCCCGCTTACGTTTCCTACCACAGGGCTGTCAACAAAATAAGTCTCATGGGTTTTCCGCCTCGGTCCTGTCGCGCGAGGAGACCAGCGCGCCGGCGCCGCAGTCACCGACCGGAAACGTTCGGCGGGCGTGCGAGATAATGTCATCTGATAATCTCTACACGCCCCCCCCCCCAGCTC